CATAAATCAAGTGGGTACCCATTAATTATTGGGAAAAATGACCAAGGTATCCCAATTAAACAAGAGATTCAGACATGATAACAAATTTTCTTCTTTTTAAAAATTTTTTTTGGTCAGATTTTTTTAATTAAAAATTTTAAAAAATAAAATATATTATTATTATATTACCGGTCCGGTCCGGGTGAGCGGGTGGGCGGTTCCACAGCGGGAACCGGGAACCGGCGCAAACAGTACCGGTTCCAAAAAATTGGAACCGGGAATCAGACCGGTTCCCTTGGGAACCACCGGTTCCAGGCGGGTCCCGGTTCTTTTGCACACCCCTAATTAGTGGTCCTAATGTGGTATTTAAGTAATTAGGTTATGTTTTAATCACATCGCCTTGGCGCAACCACATGTGCTTCTCTGGACAGCTTGTGCATTTGTTCCTTGTTCCATCTGAACCAAGTAAAAGAACACACCATTAGCTAGTGACTGGTGAGGGAAAATTTCTTGCTTGAACGCGAGTCTCGTAGACCGGATTGATCGTACCCTGTCGATTCCGGGTATACCGCATGGGCCATATCTTAGGGCTCCGTAAGACTCCGTGATCACACTTGGAGTCGCCAGTGGTCGTGAATGACCGATATTCTTTTTCAAACTTTTCGATTTTGGTTCTGAAGGAGCGAGTCAGAGAGATTGAGAAAGAAAGTCATTCGATTTGATTCGTTCTCGTTAGCCACGAGATGATAATCTTAGGGTGATCCTTTTGAAGATGTAGTCTCCAAAGGATGAGAACCAATTACATCACATCGAGTATTCAAGAATTGTATCCGTAATTAGTTAAACCCTATTAACTTAACACGGGTCTATGAAAGAACTTGGTTAGGTGGAGGTGACGTTTGCAGTAAAAAAAGAAGAAGATATTCTTCTTACACGAGCAAAACTGGTAAGTTTGACGACTATTTTCATCCTCCATTATTTGTGCTCGACCTAATGGCCAATATAGGCAAAATCTTTCAAAAAATTCTAAATCTATTATATGGCCATCATATTAATTCTAAATCTTTTAATTGTGTTAATTTAGTCTTAAACCTTTTGATAAATTACCAATATAGTCATTTCGATCAATTTTGGCTAGAAATTGCTAATGTGAATGCTGATTGTCCTACATGGCATATTCGGCACTGATGTGAATAATTTTCAGAGTTTTTCTTTTATTTTTCAAAACTTTTTATTAAATTTTCTAAACTTTTTTCTTTTTTTCCTTTTTATTTCTTTCCTTTTCTTTTTTCTTTTTTCCTATTTCCCTCCATTAGTCTGTGGCCCAAATGACGGTCGATGGAGGTTGCCAGCCACAAGCAAGAGCTCGCGAGCCTTCACTATGGCTAGCAAGAGCGTTGCAAGCCCTCACCCAGATCTGACAACGGCCGCGATGCCCTCGCCTGTAGCCGATGGCCTCCACCAACCTTCCCCGACATAGGAAAATAAAAAAATAATAAAGAAAGAAAAGGAAAAAAACAATGAAAAGAAAAAAAATCACGAAAAAACTCCAAAAATTGTCTATTTTAGCTTCGGATGTGCTGTGTAGGACAGTCGGCGTCTACGTCAGTGATTTTTTATCAAAATTGGCCGGAAGAACTACATTGGCAAATCGTCAAAAGGTTAAGAAATAAATTGACACACTTAAAAGATTTAAGACTAAATCGATTGCATATACTAGGTTTGGGACTTTTTGGACAATTATCCCCACTAAGACATTATGAGATTATCTGCTCACCATTGTTACATACTTGTTTTTTAACTCTCAATCAGGAAAATTACAAAAAAAGTCATAAACCTATTGTACCAATGCCAATTTTTTTTTGGTCAGAGTACCAATGCTAATTCAATCCTAAACTTTTCAATTTGATCAATTTAGTCATAACATTTTGACGATTTGCTAATATAGTTATTCCAGACAATTTTAGCTAGTAGTTGTTGACATAGACGCCTACCGTCCAACGTAGCACGGTTGGCACTGACGTGTATAGTATTTATGATTTCCTAGTTGTCCAGTAGCGCCACGTAAGATGACCAGAATCCACATCATTAATTTCAATTCAAAATTTGTCGGAATGACCACATTCGTAAATTGTCAAAAAGTTCATGATTAAATTAGTCAAATTAAAAATTTAGAACTGAATTTACATCCGTATAAATTTAAGACTTTTTTTATATTTGATAATTATCCCACTCTTAATCCGAAACTTACTTTTGACTCGTTCTTCCCTTCCGGTTTGACATTCTCTTTCTTGGGTCTTCCGTGCACACTTCCGGTGTTTCCTACCCAAAAGCAAATTTCTTCCTTCTCATGGTTTATCCCCTAAATTTCTTTCCCTTGCAAGGTGGGCAATCCTCTGCCCTTCATAGATTGCGTCATCCTTTACGTCAAAAGGACATTAATTGCCGCTATCACATCACGTTGTGCCCGATTCGATGAGGTTCAAACGTGGGCCTGACTGACACTTGGATAACGAGATTCTCTTTGAAAAAATTCACGATCTCCCTCGATCGAGCCCTAGGCGCACTTATTGATCTACATTAGTCATAATTCCTCGAAATTATTAGGCGTTCTTGAAGATACTATCTTCCTCTCACGTGCTTGGACGGTCCAAGGGTTGAATCGAACTCTATTGCCACTTAGATTGCCAGCTGAGACTCGGGGCTTAATGGTCCATAAGCTGGTCCATGTATAGTTCATAGATTGCATTATTCCTCGTTTGGGTTCAAGAATCATGTCTTGCCAACTCTTTTGCGCTCTAACCAAAAGAAAAAAAAAAAAGAAAGGGAGAGAAGGAGAAAAATGTAACCCAGCACTCGCGACTTTGTGATGTCAGTTACTACGGCATTAGGGGCATTCTTCGATAGATCTAGTAATATAGCATGCCATTTAAAGAATCCAAGTTCCTCCGCGTCGTGTGTGTTGATGTAAGCGAAATTGCGTGTGACTCAGAACCACCAGAGACGTGCGCGAGTTCGATAACCGTCTCCTCAAATTAGTGATCGATAAGGTCGTACCCGGACTTGCGAAAATCATATGAGAACTCCGACTTTCGACTTCTACACTACAGTTACGTCCCATTCCCGCAAAGTTCCCTCGATTGGTTTCGATTATGGGTATTGTTCCAATGATACGAACACAATTACTATGTCTAGTGTCCTTGAATGGGGTATTCTTGAAAGTAGAGTGCATTCCTTTTCTATTTTGTGCAAGAACGAAAGTCAGATTATTATTAGTTTTTTCTTTCGCATGAGAAAAAGAGAGGAAAAATCAGATCTGGGTGGGGGGTGGAGTGTTTCTAGGGTTGATGGAAAAGCATCCTTTCACGAGGGGATTGATCGAGAAAGATAATGGCACATAGCGACGCTATCTAACATACCAAATTAAAGTAATCGTGATAAGGAAAACTTGTAAAGTTCTTTTGTACTCATGCCCTAGAAAGGGTAATGGGATTTAATTAAAGGGCCTGATTAGTGTGTGGTCTTAAGATAATGGTTCCCTTCTGGTGATGCCCAGATGGACCCCAACCTCGGGTCAGCAACACACAAGAGGAAACCCACTTAATTGTATCGAGGTTAACACCAATCCCTCCCTCTCTCCATCTTGTCAATTCATCCGAAGTGGGCGACGTCTACCAGGTCGTGGAATATACTTAACTATGTCTTATCAGAGTCCATGAGCGACAATGACACCCAAAATCCAATATCCTTCCATTTCTTTTCGTTTTTTCTTTTGAGGTTTTCCTTTGGGTGTGATGAAATCAAGGAAAGATAATTGACAACGTAGTTGAAATCGAGGTTCTAGGGCATGGGGGTAGGTGGATCAAGATCCTACTTTCTTGTTCAAAGTCGCTAGAGCCCCCCTTCAGTTCAATTATTCTTCTGTTTGAGAATAATGCTAGGCTGCTGGATCTGCAGACGATCATTCTGCTGTTCATTGTTCGGTCAGCGAAGCTCGGTCGTTGAAGAAGACCTATAGAACGTCTGATCTGAGGAGATGCGCACAAAAGATCTTCCCCAGAATCACTTTTCTTTTTCACCTTTTGAACGTGCTTAGTGTCTTTTAGCTTTCTAGCAAAAAGTTAGTTAATAATCCTGCTTTATAATCGAAACAAAAGTGCTGGGGAGGAGTAGGTAGGGTTTGCTTTGCATACATGAAACTGGAAGAAAGGAAAAATACAATGAAAAGAAAGGTTACTGAAACCTTCGATTAGACCTTAGACCTTACAGTATAGAGACATGGTGCCGTAGCATGATTTTAAGATAAATTAAGAAATGGGTATTCGTTCTTTCATGTCATATCTTCGGGTTTCACCAGGATGATCGGATGATGATGATTACTACGGCATAACCACGTCACACACGTATTATAAATTGGCCCACAGCATTCACGTTGCGAATAATATTTTCTTTTTTGTATTCAATCCCACGTAGCAATCATCTAGAGGTCACATCCAACCATACCAATGATTCTCATCGATAATCATCTTAATTAACATCATTATCAGTCCAACATCTACATGTTGACATCGAACCGGGAAAACCTATAGTTTCATATTCTAGGAGTCAATCGATCTAGCTTAGCACCCTTTCCAATCTTCAAATGAGATTTGAGGGTTTGATACAAAGCTGTCGAGATGTGATTAGCAGGTTGTGACGAGTAATGGGATCCACTCTTATGTGTAACTACGCGACCGCAACTCTTTGAGGCCACTCATGGCTCTTCCCCAGCAGATCCTTTGCTTAGTCAAACTATTTTTTTTTTCAATTATTATAGCAGAAAAACATGCAACATACAGTATAATCATCTCTTGACTTACTAGTTACCACTATCTTCTAGGGTTTATTTGAAGGATATCAAAAAGTATCCTTAAGTTATAAAATGTCGTTAAGACTCCAGGACGATACAAACTGATGATGTGCTTGTCACTTTATATATATAATAGCAAATAAATATATATACATTAAACCATGTACATGGATTTTGAATATAAAGGATCACCCATTGCAATAAACGATGCTCAAGTATACTACCAGGGTTCTATACAATCATTTCTGGTGCTGCATCCTAAAGCAAAAATAAGAATGATCCATCTGGCTTTATTTTTCTACATGAGGATCCGCTATGTCCTTTTTTTTTCTTATGAATCACCCTGCTATCTGAATTCAATGCATCTATACACATAGAACAAACCCTAAAATGTGCAGTTATACATTCATGTATATGACCCTAATTGTAATATGCGTCTATTGGCCTCACCTGAAATCGGAAGCTCATCTCATACCCTCTTCTAAAGGAATTCTTTGGGGGGCCACTCACTTAGTCTCCACACAAGCACCAATCCATACCTTCACAATTTTGTCAAACTGTAGTACCAACTTGTTAATGTGGCGAAACTTTCACCTTAACTTAGCTATCACGTAATGCCCGCCATCAAATTCAAGCTATACTCTGGACTAATTAAGCATACCAATTCAGTCCCGGCATGTGGAACTGTGGTCGGAAACTGCCGTCGCCGAGAGGCCCATAGACCGTTTGCTGGTGCAACGATGGGGTTTGAGGAATCTGGCTGAGCAGAGACGCGATGGAGCTAGTCCCTTCGTTGTTGTTCCTCTCGAAGCTCCCCGGATCGTTCCTGTCCGCGCTGAACTGTCTCTTGACCGACGAAGGGTCGCTCATCTCGGCGGCAACATCCTTGTCGTTCCAATAGAGCGAGTGAAGAGTCCGCTTCAGGGGAAGAGGGCTCGAAATGTTGGGCGCTTGGACCATGGCCAATTCTGGCTTTAAGCCCGAGGATGATGCGAGGTGAGAGATCATGTTGTTGGGGATGCCGCCGCCGCCATTAGCCCCCATCATCCCGTCAAAAAGGTTCTGCTCGTGCTCGAACAACATGGCGTAACTCGCCGTGGATGGCTTCGAGAGGTGTAGCTTCAAGTTCTGAGGGTTCATTGTCAACGAAGAAGGGATGGATTCGAGCAAGTCCTCCATCGAGTCGTCCCTCTCGTGATCCACCGGCCGGTGTGTGTTGTTCTTCTTGTAGATTCGGCATAACACCCAGTCATCCAGCTATGAAAACCATAAACACACTATTATTCAGTAGCATACTCATTAAATCAAATAATCAAACCAACCAAAGGAATGAAACAAAACGAATGGGTTCGATCATTACCCTCAGGGAATTTTTCTTGTTGACCACGTCACATCCGGGCGGTCTGCTACTGACTTTGTTCTCGATGAGACGGTACTCGTGCATGATCCAGTTCGTCTTGACGCCTTTCGGTGGTTTTCCGCCGTAGAAGACCAGAGCCTTCTTCACACCGACCTTCTGATCCCCGACGACGGACAGCACCGGTTTGTCGGTTCCCGTCGCCTTCCAGTACCCCGACGTGGCCGCCCTGTTGGGCCTCGCCCCGTTCGGGTACTTCCGGTCCCTCGGGCTAAAGAAGTACCATTCTTGCTCGCCATACGTCGCCTTCGCTGTAAGATGAAGAAAAGTGAAAGAAAGAAAGAATAAGCATAAGTAAGCGACGATAATCTTTCCTCTGCTTCGTATGAACTGGCAAACATTTCCCGTTTCTTTCTCGAGCGTAGAAAGGGCATAAAGAATCTGCGCGACTCGAACTCGATCACTACCGACGTATAGTCTCATGTATACTGCACTCTCGATGCAAAGATTACATCGAACACCTGCCTCGTGTACGCCAAGCAACCCTTTCTTGGGTCATCGAAAACATCACTTCCTCGTGTACCCGAGACAGATTTGACACCTCAACACCGAACGATTCAACAGAAAGAGGACAAAAAGAAGCGAGCGCATGCCCCCCCTCGCTGCGCATACCTGGAAGCTCCCAGGGATCAAACTTGTAGATATCGACCTCGGCGATGATGGCGACGGGGAGCAGCGAGGAAGCCGCCTTCTTCTTGAGGTAGTGGGTGACGAGCTCCTCGTCGGTCGGGTGGAACCGGAACCCCGGCGGCAGGTGGGGCTGCGCCGGCAACCCCGCCGACGAGTCCGCGCGCTCCATTCGCAAAAAAAAAACCCACCCGCTCCCGCTCCCCCGGCAGCCCCTTCCGCAGCCGATGCCTCGAAAACCCACTCGGGATTCACGAAGAAGAGAACGAATGATCAACGAGAGAACGCACGAGATATAGAGAGAGAGAGAGAGAGATAGAGAGAGAATGAAGAGAGACAGAATAAAAATGTGAGTGTGAAGGTTTTGGCTTGGCTTGGCTCGTCCAATAAATGGGAAAAATATGAGAGGAGGCTCGAGCGGAAGAGATGGCGGGGGGCGGGGATCGGGTGCGCCGCGCCCACGCTGCGCCCCCCGGCGAACCGCGGCGCGGCACGTCGGCGCGGCCGCTGGACGACGCGTCATTTCTCGGGGCGCGGCCTTTACGGTAATGCCCCTGGCCCCGTTCTTTTGCCCCCCCAAGCCCATGCACGAGGGCCCGACGTGGACGTGTGCGCGGTGCGCGACGGCGGCGATGGGGCGCGACGCGCGGCTGACGCTGACGTCGCCCCGGGGGGCGGCGCGGGGGGGGGGGGAGGGGGGAGGGGGGGGCAAGGGGGAAGCCGGAGTGGTCGACACGTGTCCGGGGGAGGGGGCGCGAGGGGTCGACACGAGTGGGGGGAGGGATCGGGGGTGGGGGCCCACGGGCCCCACCCTCCTTCCCCGCACAAGGCAACAAAACAACAAGATAACAGAGGGGACGACGGGGAAGCGGGGAGGGGTGGGGCCCGCCGATGTCATGCCTTTGGTGTGCACTTGGTTAAAGCGCGACCAAAAATGTCCAAAGGTTAAGAGCATGTGTTAACGGCTAACATCGATTGGCTCCTGTTCAGTTTCTTGTCCCTCCCATGTCGCTATTTTGCCTTAGAGAATATATGGCATTAACTTTACTTATATATATATTTACACGCTAATATATACATATACATATATATACATGAGAACTCGTGGCTCAAAATCAGGCGTGAGCACACCTTTTGTACATCTAATACATGGCCCTTAATTATTAGGTTTTTGACTAAGTAGAAGATGAGCACGGGTCCGCGATTTTTGAGGACATGTCATTTGGCTTAAAAAATTAAATTCGGTATAAATATTAGTTTCCAGTTCCATGTTCTAACTTTAGTGGAGTTGACGACTGATGATAGGATGGTAATCCCTAAAATTAAAAGCGAAAGCTCCATTTTTTTAATCTTTCTTTTCTTTTTTCTACGGAGGAAGAAATGGAGTTATGCTGCATAGTTTCTAGAAAACCAGTCTTCAAAGTGGATGTCTATCTTCTCGGAATGCAAAGGTTTTGAACTCTTATATAGAAATGTTAAGACAACTTATCTCAAGAAATTACTAATGATTCACTTCTCTTTCCAGGTATACATTACGTAGCAAATCAAACCATAATTTTACCCTTTACCCGAAACTCCAATTGATTAAAATGTTCTCATTTCATGTTTCTAGAGAATTTCTTTCCCGCATTCTCGAAATGAGTTTTTAAACTATTTTTGGACAATTCTAAATGACCGCTAAACACATAATCGGCCTAGTTTAATAGGCTAGTAGCATAGATAAGAATCAAACACAAGACACAGCGTATTTAAATCGGGATTCGATCACTCAACCAAACCTTTTTTAGATTATTAAGTACGCACTCCATAACAATTTTCCTCGCGTAAAACACGTAATGGGCGGAAATATCCATCCTCCTAAAGTATTTACACACCACTAATATTGTACCTAGGGGTGTCAACGGGTCGGGGCCGGGCGGGTTTTCATAATACCAAACCCGACCCGACCAGAAACACTACACATGTGTGCTTGACCCGGATTGACCCGACCCTAACAAAAATATAACCCCAACAATATTGTTGGGTTGGGTCATGTTTGTCCAGGTCGGGTTCTTGTTTCAGAAGCAAAAACGCAGCATTCATTTGATCAAATCCATGCCATTTGCCATAACTTCACACAATCTCATTGGATTTTTACATTCAGCAATACAAAAATCCACAGCCAGTCATACGAGAGAGAGAGAGAGAGAGAGAGAGAGAGAGAGAGAGAGAGAGAGAGAGAGAGAGAGAGAGAGAGAGAGAGAGAGAGAGAGAGAGAGAGAGAGAGAGAGAGAGAGAGAGTCATTTGGTAAAAGTAAAGTTCAAAAGAATACAATTTTGACCCTATAGCATGGATGATTGTGTTTTGCCTTGTTTTCATTCACTTTTGTTTATAACCATAGTGACGATATATTTCCACACACACACACATACATATATAATGCCTTTTCTTTTTAAAAAAAGGGTAAAAAACACAAATGATCCATAAACTTTGGCTCAACATGCAACATCATTCTTAACTTTTAATTTGTACTTGTTTAGTCTAATCTATATATTATATATGTTGAAAATTTGAATTAATGGAATGACAACATTGAATATTTTCATATAGTTCGGGGACTAAATTAACATGTACTAAGAATCTAGGGATCACATTAAACAAATTAAAAATTCAGAAATGACATTGTACATTGGGCTAAAGTTCAGGGACCGCATTAAACAATTAGAAATTCATGGATCACATTACACATTATACCAAAGTTTAGATACTTACATGCGAGTGCTCTGGTTTGTATTCAGACTTTGAGCCATCCTGCGTTTAACATCGAAAGTCGTATAAGTTGAATTCTTCGCTTGCTAGGTCGAGAAATTCTCATTTAGGAGGATTCATGATTTAATAAAAGGTTAATATCACGAAGAATTCCAAATTGGTACGTCTGTGACAAATATACCCCAAACTAGTAGACTTGTGACAAACTCTCCATTAGTTTCCATTAAATTTTACTGTCAAATTACTGAGTTTGATGGCACGTGGCGGTTGATTGGTGTAACAGTTTGGGGTTTTAGCTCCATTTGTCATGGGTGTACCGGTTTGTGATTTTTCGTGGCATTAATCCATTTTAACAAAAACTAACGGAGGGTAAATTTATCACAGGTCTGCTAATTTAGAGTTTTTATTAGTCAAAAAATTAGTTTTGGATAAATTTGACACATGTGTACCAATTTGAAGTTTTTAGTGGTATTAATCCTATAATAAACGTTGAATTCCTCTCGGAGAGTGAATGGAGAAAAATAATACTCCTAGTCATAGGTTGCCCACTCACTTAATCGTCTAATCAGCTATTAATGTTGTAGACCAAAAAGGATTAGCCTATGACCTAATCATGGTTGAGAAAAGGGTAATACTTATCTTTATCATTCCATCATTGTCATACTTTGATAGATTAGATAGAGTCATCTCATCAAATTCAATCTCTTATTTGAATTGACTTACCGTGACGTCTCGTGGGAATGATCCAACATCTGAAAGATTGGATAATTTTTTACTACTTTGAAAGGATGAAGATATTCTCATAATTTTTAGGGGTAGTCTGATAAAGTTCTCAAGAACATCATGCGAAACGTTAATGGGAAAATTACAAAAAAAAAAAGTCATAAATCTATTGTACATGTGTCAATTTAGTCATTAACTTTTTTAATTTGGCCAATTTAGTTCGAAGTAGTCATTCTGACCAATTTTGATAGGAATCTGCTGACGTGGCGATCCAGCCGACGCCGGTCATCCTACGCGGCACGATTGGTGGACGACTAGCGCTAACGTGAACAATTTATGCAATTTCTTCAAATTTTTCTAAATTTTTTCCCTTGTTTTTTCTTGTTCTTTTCTTTCATTTTTTTTTTCTTTTTTTCCTATTGCCCTCCACTGGTTGCCAGAGCCTCGACGATAGCTGATAGAGGTTGCTGGCTACAAGCGACAGGCGACGAGGGAAATAAGACTATAAATTCCCATCTTCTAATTTTTGGACAATTTAGGTAACTCGACTTGTGAAGTTAAGATAACACAAATGGATATCGCATGATAAAACTTTAAAAAAATATATGGATGAGCATGGTACGGTTTTAGAAAAACTAAAACCAAAATCAAACCTTTGATATCGAACTAATATTCACTCATTGAACCCTATTCCAAATTGAATATTCAAGATAATACACACGACATCATCAATATAATCCTATGTCGAGTTAAATTTATATTCATTTCACTTGACTTTTCGCTGATTACGTTCAATTTTATCACTTCACGTCAATCTGTAAAATTTACTTTTTGTAAAAACTCAATGAATTTCGATTTCAAACCTAGACAATGACGGGGAAAATCCTCTTTTTACCCGCTTATGCTCCTATTATCCGCCCTACTCATTGGATCGTGACATGGGAGAATCTTTTCCAACACGTGTTGCGATATCATGAGAATGGCTGACGATTGTAGCACAAGATCGTGGCTCCCATGATTGGGATCTGGTGGCTAGACTGAGATACTTTGGCGCTCTCTAGCCCAAGTCATTGGTGCCAATGTCCGAGTCCCCCAAGGCTGAGAGCTAGACATTAATTCCCATGCTTGGGTGTTTGGCAACCTAGCTCGAATCCCCAAAGCCTGGGCCCAAGACCCTTGGCCCGGGGTTCGGGACCCCAGCACCAATGCCCGAGTCCTCGACGGCCTTGCTTGGCACCCCCGACGAACACGCCCTAGTCCCCAGCGGCTAAGGTTGAGTCTTTCGAGGATGGGTTGAAGTCCCGTGAGGCCGAGCTCGGGCTCGAGACCCAATGACCGAGCCTGGGTCCCTAGCTTTGGAACGCGAGACTTGGGACTGTACTCAAAACTTTTTCCTCAAATGCTTGTTCCATAGTTTCTAACGTAATATCATAAAAAAAAAGGGATAAGTGCACTAGAAGTCCTAAAACTTATCACGAAAGTGCAATTGAGTCCTAAAACTTTCAAAAAGTGCAAACAAGTCCTAAAACTTGTCACGAAAGTGCATTTTTTTTTTTTGGTAAGGACCACGAAAGTGCATTTGAGTCCTAAAAATTTCAAAAAGTGCAAACAAGTCCTAAAACTTGTCACGAAAGTGCAAACAAGTCTTTAAACTTATCACGAAAGTGCAAACAAGTTCTAAAACTTTCAAAAAGTACAATCAATGGAAGGACTTGATTGAATCAATTTGACAAGTTTTAGGACGTGTTTGCACTTCCGTGACAAATTTTAGGACTTGTTTGCACTTTTTGAAAGTTTTAGGACTCAATTGCACTTTCGTGACAAGTTTTAGGACTTTGAATGCACTTATCC